GAGGGGAGGGGGAGGGAAGTGCTTGAAGCCAGAAGCACGGAACACTCAGCGGTTTTTCCTCTGGCCAGCTGTGAGGTCTCACCAGCCTCAGTTGCCCTATCTGTAAAGGGGGCTGATACTACTAGTACGCACTTCCCGAGGTGGTTGGTGAAGAGTCACAGTATGTAAAATACTTAGGAGGGTCTTGACCCCCAGTGTGATTTTTTCCTATGCACAGCTGCCCTGAGGACTTCCTGTGTGGGACACACTGCCCCCTGGAGGGGTGGCAGCTGGAATGAAGCTGGGCCCAGTTGGGACTGAATGAAAATGCCCAGAGAGGCTCTTTTAAAAGTTAATTGTTACTGTTGTAACTGTCCGCGTTTATGGGGCGCAGTGTGGTGATTCAGCACGTGTGTACAATGTGTACTGATAAACGAGTTCCATCTCCTTATCATTTCTCTGTGTTAGGAGCCTTCTAGCTCCTCTCTTCTGGTTATAATTGTCTCAAGAATCACCCCCTTTAAAGCCATTTACTTTTTACACTTTTATTAGTATGAATGATGTTCCCTCGATATATATAATCACATAATTAATCATAGATAATATCAGTAATGATAGGAAGCAACGTTTGTTGAACAGCTATTATATGCCAGGCACCGTGTAAAACCCTTTACAAGCATCATCTCCATTTAATTCTCTCAAAATCCTTATGAGAATTTGAGTCATTTTCCTCCTATTTTTACAAATAGGGAAATAGAGGCCCAGTAGACAAGAATCCAGCTGTTGATGAGTGGCAGGGGGAAGGCCTGGGAGCATCCACTCCCAGCCCAGGTGCCCAGGCCCCAGCCTGCTATCTCTGTGGTAGAGAGAACCCCTGTGGTGGCCCCTCAAGATTCCCATCCCCTGGATATTTGATACAACCTTAATGCAGGTACTGCTGTGAATCAATTTCTCAGATGCCGTCTACAATCACGTTCTGGGGAAATCCACGTTCTCTTCCCAAATTCACGTTCTCTGCCCAAATCCACCTCTACTGGGCTTCTCTCTCCAAAATATACTGTCTGAATCCCGTGAGAACTCAAGGGGAACTCAGGCAGCAGGATACGCCCTATTCCCAGCAGGAATAATCTTAAACCTTAAACCTGGAACCTAAACTGGGAACGCCCTAAACAAGATTATCTTAAAACCGGGAACACCCTAATCTGCCTTGGTCCTTGAGCAAGGTCACTTACATTCAATGTCACTGCAACATGTCAGCAACATGGGGTACGCTGGCAAGGAAATTGTCATACCTACTTGGCTAATGGCTCCCAGCACTCAGAGGTCATTGAAGTCCCAAGTCAGGGTGGAGGTGACCCAGGTGGGTCAGATCCAATCAGGTGAGTCCTGGTGGTGGCAGAGGGCAGTCAGAGAGACAGAGGACAGAGACTCCACGTGCCATTTCTAGCTTTGAAGATGGAGAAGGCCATGGGATGAGGACTGAGTGGCCCCAGCTGACAATCAGGAGGGAGCGACCCTCTGTCCTCAGGCAGCAGGGAGCTATTTCCAGTGAACACCCCCTGGAGTTTAGAACCAGGTTCCTCACCAGGAGGGGCCCAGCTGGCAGCACCTCGACCTTGGTCTTGCAAGGCCCTAAGTAGAGAGCCTGGCCAGCCCACCTGGAAGCTGTGGGACAATATCTGTGTGTCATTTACAGCCACCCAGTTCGTGGAGACTTGTCTCATGGTGACAGAAGATGCATGCAGTCTCCATTCAGGGATACCTTATGGATACCCGCAGTTCAAGTGTCATGCCGTATCTGTTTTGTGAAATCTAAGGACATCATTTTGCTCTTCTCTCCAACAAGTAGATACAAAGGGTGATCGAAATGTTTCCTGAGAGAAAGAACAGACAAGGTGCAGCGGTTTCTGCTTCCCATTCCAGCTTCTGGAACCAGGATCCCCAGATCCAAAGTCCAATTTCCTCCCATAGGACTTGCATGGTTCTAGTTATTATTATTATTTTTTATCAGTCTCCCTGGGCCTCAGTGTCTACATCCATAAAATTGGGATAATAACAGGGTCATTGGGAAGATTAGATGATATAATACTCGTAAAGTATTTGCTTGGTTGCCCAGCACAGAGGGATCCGTCGGTGCTATCTGCACGTGTGATCTTTACTGAAGTGGTTCAGTGAACAGTCAACTCCAGCAAGAAGAGACAAGACCATGGGCACAGAGCTCAGGTTTTGAAACTCAGACCACATTTTGAACTGGGTCAGATCAGCATGTATTCCTAATCTGGAACCCTGATGGATGGTTCCCACGTGGTCGGGACCCTGGGATGCAGGATCAAACCTGAAAGGAGATATTTGGTCAACCAGCTGCAGACCCTGCTCAGAGGCCAGGATGGCTGAGTGGCTCATTCCGAAAATGCCCCTGCAGATGTTGGAACCACTTCCCAATAGTCAGTCTTCCAAACTACTGAGTCTAGAAATGAATCCCCCTCAGAGGGTCCCGGAACAAGAGGACTGTGGGTTCAATCAGAACTGTTTAGCCAGCAGCCCCAGGTAGACACAGCCAGACTCGACCACAGCCTCCTGCACAGCTGTTTATTTCAAACCTTGCCAAGGAGCTGGGGGTGGAATCTATAAACCTCTCTTGTTTTAATTGAGTGTTACTCCTTTTTTAAAAAAAAAAAATCTTTAAAAGACACTTGGACAACATGTTTATGGTTTACTTTTTTAAAAAAATTCTATTGTGCTTCTTCTGAGAAAAAAGTTTTGTCACTTAAAAAAGAAGAAGAAGAAGAAGAAAAGATGTGTAAGGTAAAACAGCAGTTTGGCACACAATGGCCACTGGATTTTTTAATTAGAGTTGAATGCAACCTGATGTCATAAAATTCATCATATGGGGAGGGAAGGAGAGGTTCCATCCACACCCAGATGATGACTGAGTCTCTCTTGCAATTTGACTACCAACTCCGGGGCTCTAGTGCACCCCCTCTCATTTGCAGAGCCAATGTGCAAGTCCTGAGTTCTATACCCCCAACCCCATCCCTCGTCTTAATTTTACCAAGTCGGAAAACATCGTGGCGCACTGCGGAGGAGGAAAATGGAATATTTGAAAATACCTGGTGAATGCAAAAATCTATTTCACTTGCGGGGAAAAGAAAGAATGCAGGGTGGTGCACCGTCCCTGTACAGGGGACACTCACAGTCTGGCGCACAGTGGAAGGAACACAAGCTGCTGTGAGGGCTGGCGGAACAATGGGCTGTCACAAGCACCGTGTTATGTAACTGGGTTATTTGAATTCACAATTGTGAAGGCAACGATTGTAGGAGGAGGCCTGTCCCCCTGCTCCATGATGGAGCAGCCCTCCAGCTGCCCTGGAAGCAGACTGTCCCTCCTGGTGACGCCAACAGCTGGCATTCAGGAGAGAAGAACTGGATTATTGCTGACGCCGAGAAGGTGCTCATGCACTTTCAAGTGTTTTTAATAATAGTGACCATAATAAAAGGCAGTGAGAAAATGAGGCCCCTTCTCCACTGTAGCAATTGGCCGTTTGCAAATGACCTGATTCTTGGCACTCTCCTGGCCGCCCTCTGGGCTCCGTGATGTTCTCCGAGGGGTTCTCTGCAATTCACATGCTCTGTTCACAGCTGGGTCAAGGCATGTGGATGCGAATATGCAGAAGGGCCACGGAAGGGGGACATCCGGGGATGCCTCTTGCATTTGGAGGTAAAGGCACCCTGTGCCATCCTCAAGGTCATTTTCCCTTCCAGCGTCCTACACCTGGTGCTTGATAAACTCAAGCATGAGCAGTGAAAGAAGAGTTTCCCTGGCCGGCCCTCTGGGTTTCAGGTTGAGCTGCAGCCATGCCCAGGGAGGACCCTGCACGTGCTGTTCCCTGGGCCAGGGACACCTCCCAGGCCTCACCCTTGAAGACCAATCTGTGGAATCCTGCTAGAATCTCACTCCCTCTACAGCCCTCCTCAGGCGCATGCCCTCCTCCACCTGCCCTCCAATAACTTCAATAACTCCGTGAGTTTAACTGCAGAAACCCCCTCCCACCATATTGTAGGCTGTTGGCAAATCTGCCCCCCCTTTACTTGAGTGTACCCCATTTGAGGCTAGGTCTTCTCAGTTCTGACTTTTTCATGTTCAGCCATGAAGGTGGCCTCATAGTGCTTGGGCAGTAGGGGGTTGTCCCTAAACCCTAGGTGCTTGTGCAAAGCTGTGGAATTGATAACTAGCAGGGGCAAGGCTCAGACTTTTTTTCCTTTGTAGTGTGGTTGTGCAGTTGTGGTGTGTTGTTGTGTGGGTGTGTGTGGATAGAAGCATGGCTCCTCCTGTCTGGGCCATTTGCAGTTCCCATGGGCCACCATCTGCACAAGGAGGAGCTTTCTGGGTAGGAAGGGGCAGAGGGACAAAGGGCTCAGAGACTTGCTTTCTCCTCGCCTGGCAGGTGGAAGTAGATGGTGAAAGACCACGATGACAATAATAAGGCTCTTGAGTGAGTGCCTTGCAGGACCAAGTACTTTCCCTTTTTTTTCTTGTTTAGCCTGAGAACAGAGGGTAGACAACTTGCCCACTGTCACAGCTTAGGAGAGTCCACCCTGAGCCCACGCAGCAGCCACACTCCAGAGCACGCTTATGTTTACAGGCATGTGTATGCAGAGGGACCTGGTGGGACGGTGTCACGTGCTGGTGTGCACATGGGTCAGGGTGTGCTGGGGCGTATCTGACGTTGCTTGACACATTTCGGATATGTGTGTGTCCCTGTGCCCTCATGCATCAGGAACAGCATCTGGGTCTGAACAGGGCTCAGATTAATATGGTGGATGATTCCTCCAGGTGGCCAGAGACCCTGCCCCAGCTTCCTTGGCCTCTTTGTCCACTTGTACAAGAGCACCTTGCCTTATCTGCATTTGGTTGGGTGGGGACTCTGTCCTTACCCCCAAGCAGTGCTGCAGAGAACTTGCAGACTATGGGAGGTGAGCTTCCACTAGTGAGGACTTGCTTTTCAATGGTAAATTTGCATTTAAATGTACCCTGTCATTTTTAATCTCAGGCGCTTGGCACAATTAGCTCCCAAGGAGCAGGCTCTATTTACAAAGTCTGCTTCAAGCCAGGAGGACCCAGGCTGCAGCAAGCCCACTGCAGACTCTAGGGCCCTGTGGCGTGGATGGGTGTGGATGGAGAAACCTGGTGATGTATGCAAATTATACTGTCAGGGGCAACTCAGATGCATCCTGAGGATAGTGCCAAGAGGCATTTTGTGTTACCAGGCCATGGGCGGTGTCCCCTGAGACAAGATTCCTGCAGGTCGGAGGTGGGACCGCAGAGTGGCTTGTTCAATCCTATTAAAGGTGAGAAAGCTCTGACAGGGTGGAAGAGCAGCTGTTTGTCTTCTAAAGATGAACAGTTGACAGCTCAAAGAGAGAAGCAAGCCCTCCCACCACCTCTATCCTGGTCTCTAGTCCTCTATTTAGGATTTAGGGCACAGAAATCTTGGCTGCTTTCCTTTTTCTTTTTCTTATTATCAGAAAGTAAACTTTTGCTTCTGGGTTTTTGTTGTGCTTTGCTTCATTTCTGTTTGACTTCATTTCATATTATTTTACTTCATTTGGGCTTTGACGTTAAAGATGACCAGCAGTGCTCTCTTGATGAGGCAGGAAGAAAATCTATACTAGGTAGCTTTGGCTTTACCCCTTGTACCTACCTGAGACATCTTGTCTGAATCTGTGTAAAAGCTTTGGGTTTTACAAAAGTCTCTATCTGAATTAAAAGTGCACAACTTCTTTTATAGCATCAAGCACTCCAAAAGAAGTTTTTAAATGTTTGCCGTGGGTCTGGAGCCATGAAAAGCCTTATTGTTCTACCCAAGAAGACACTGAACTGAGGGTCTGGCGATGTGCCTGAGGCCACTCAGGGAGTGAGGAAAGCGGAGCAGAGAACCCAAATGTGATGCAAAAATATCCAATAAAAGTTTCCACTCATAAACTTTGGCAGACCACAGGACGATATGAAACGAACACCATTATGAAGAATCAATTAAGAGAGGAGAGGGCCAGAAACAAGAGATGAACAGCAGGTATGGAAAAGACTATGGCAAAGGGAAAGCTAGCTATTGATCTTTGAAATTCTGAAACAATGCTTCTCCATTCTAGAAACTCTGGAGGTAAAATAGCCAGAAGGTATAACAAAGGGATACTTAAGTGTTTTTTGCTTCTACTGTTGCTTGGATTCCTTCTTGTATTTTTCTCTACTCCTCTGAAAGTGTTGATAGCAGAGTTGGAGGGGGATGGGGTCCTCAGCTGGCTGGGTGGGGGGAGGCAGGGGGATGCAGGCATTGGCCCTGAGTGCAGGGACTGTGCACACCAAATAGGACCCTTTCACAGGGGCACTGATCTCATTCTCCAGGGCCCCACCCTCAAGCAGTAATCACCTCGCAAAGTGATCACCTCCTGATAACATCTCATTAATGATTAGGTTTCAACATTTCGGGGAAGGGGAACACAGGAATTCAGACCATACCAATGCCTGAGCACCAATGGATCTGGACAAACTCAAACCCTTCGTTCATAATTAGACATCTCGTTTACGGTGGATGGAGGGCCTCAGCATTGTCTGTATTTAGAGTTTCCTGGTTTTATTCTTGAGATAGAGCAGGTTGGCTTCACTATACCCTTAGGAACTTGGAGATGTACCTAAATAATGCCTTTGCATATCATACAACAAAAAAAGGAAGATGTTTTAGAAATGCCTTTAAAAGAAATACAATTTAAGAAAAAAAAATGTGGGTTGTTTAAAATGTTTAAATCTGTATTTTAAATGTTCTTCTAAAGCTGTTTTTGTTACCGCTGTTGACCGGTGACGAGTTCTTGCTTCCCCAATGTTGAAGAATAACACCAAAGAAGCATGCTGAGGCAAGGTCAGAGTAGAAATTAGAAGTTTATTAAAGGACAGCAGAAAAGACTTCTCCCGGAGGAAGAAGGGGACCCAAGAGGTGGAATCCGTGGAAGGGATGTTGTCTCCCCTTTTTATAGTTCTTTCAGTGATGGAATGTAGGTGGGAAGGCCCGAGGGGTGGGACACAGGTGGGCCAAAGAAGTAATCTGGTCAGGAAGGACTTCTGAGTCAGCACCTTTTTGCTGGGGGCTGTTCATTAACATTTCTTTGAGGTGGACTTTGGCCTAGGGCCTTTTCGGGACTTCATTAACATTCCATGAGTTGTCCTGCGTTTCCCAGAATCATTGTCAGCATGGCCTCCATTTTAGATTTCACTCGGCATTAGACCCGATTTATCTAACTACACTGACTACCTAACTTTAAATCTGGCTTCATTTTTTCCAATCCTATCTGTGACCTGTTCACTGAACCCAGAACTAAGAAATCACCATTTCTGGGGTGGGGCCCAGGCACATGTAATTTTGATGACCTTGGAGTGATTCCAATGGCAGTGCGGCTGGGGAAACTTTGACACAAGTCACAGATTAGAATTCCTGCCATCTCAGGTGTGCTATCAGTGGACAGGCCTCTAGGATCCCCATGACCTCCCATGGCTTCAGTAAATGATGATGAGGTAAGGAACATTTGCTCACCTTTCACATACAGAAACCTGGTCTCCGAGAGGTGACTTCTCTTGCCCAAATACACCCCATCACTAAAAAGAAGTGAAGTTAGATCGGGAACCTCAGAATCTCCCCAGGAGAGGACTGTCCCTATCGTCCCACTCATCCCTCTCAGTTAGGGTGGCTTAAGTGTCTGGTCAGGAGCACCGAAGCTGCACTGCTGCCTCTGGAGTGAGCCAAGCCACCCCTGTCTTGATGTTTCAGATTTCTCGCTTGACCTGGTATTGGTCATGGAGGAGACCGCAGAGATCTTTCACACAGAAATGCTCTGAACATTCTGATAGAATAGATGCATGGAGCCATGGAAACCAGGTCCTAAAGTCAACCTGGATTAGAGAGGGAACTCCTCTGGGCGGTGGCTGTATGATGAAACAACCCCGTGAACTACAGTCTCCACACACAAGGCGACTCCACCACCCAAAGTGAACTCTCTGGTGATTCCAACCTGCTCTGATCCCCTGCCAACACACCTTTGAACATGCCACCTCCTCACCTGGATTCTCCTCACTGATACTTTTCCCTTGAACAATTCCTACCTTCCCTGTAGGAGCTCAAGGTTCAAGCTCTGCAGACAGATGGCGGCTCCTCCTTCCCGTGTCTTCTGTGGCTGCCCATCTTCACAGGAACGTCTCCTTCACTCTGTGACCCAGCATCATCCCCGTGGGACTTCAGCTCCTGCAGGGCTGGGCTTGGCCACGTTCACCTTGGTATCCCAGGGTCTGGATTCAAGGTCAAGGTCTGGCATGTAGCAGTTTCCATGACTTACAAAAATAAATAAATGATGAATTGGTAGGATGTTTGAGTCTTCTGAACTAGACCAAGGGAGCTCATGTAACCAGGAATCCCTGCTAGTTCTCCAACTGTATTAAAAATAAAAACACCAGCGAGACATATGGGGCCATTTGCTGTCAGCCTGTGGTTCATTTTATCATGGGAAAGTCACATGAGCCTGGAGCCTCAGCCCCCGCTGTTTGGAGCATGTCCTCAGCCCCATCAAGAGGATTCCCCCCAGTAATTGCAGGGTAAATGACTTGTTAAATCCGGAGCCCTGACAATACATCTCTCGACATGCAGTTCATATTCCTTGGGCAGCTCATCGCACTTTCGGGTAGTACATATTTTATAGAGGGAGAGCTCTCCAATTAATAGTAATTGTGATCGAAGCAGTAATGCTGGTCTCCAGCCGCGTTCCGCAGGAGGAGACTGGAAGGCCCATGTTAATTGCCACAAAGAGCTCTGTCTATCTGCAGCAGTATATGAATAATAAATTTGAGGCAGAAAGCACACTGCAACTGCTATGGTCTTGGAGGAGGTACGGATATTTATGTGGTGCTGATTGCTAAAAAATCTTCTCTGAGTAATTATTAGTAAATGTGGAATGTCTACATTTGTAAGGGAATTTTAATTAAAGGGAAGGTGGCTCTCATTATGGGGAAGAAGCAGCGTTTGGAGATTAACATGCAGGTCCAAGACCAAAGCGCTGGGTCTGATTGGCTTTCCCCCATTGCTACTTGGACACCAGCAGGAAGCCCAATTCCTCTGGGTTCAATTTGCCCTGGTTTTGAAGCCAGAGAAGATAAGGCATTTGTAAGTGCCTGAAGTTGTTGGGTAAAAAGTCCTACGGGTGGAGTCTTCTTATCTGGTTCAGCTCAGGGTTGTCCCACAGGGCTGGGTCAGATATCCACCACTTCCATGTTGGATTTATATGGAACAAATGAGATCACACGTGCAGAAGGACATGGAACCATTTCTGGTATATCACGGACTCATAGTGATATTTTGAGAGCGACTTTTGGTCTATTGGCTTAGTTTCCTTTGATGTAACTGATTGGGCTCTTGTGATTCAGGTTAAAGTAGGACATTGCTCTTGACCCTAAGCCACTCACCACATGCAGTTGAACGAGACATGTGAATGAGATACTCTCAATTATTTTCCACAAGATCACTTTCTGTCTCATCATAGTGAATCTTAACATCTGTGTTTATTTGGAGGTGGAGTATGGGTTCCTTTAAAGGGTTGATGTCAGCTATTCAGTCTCTTCCATGAAACGGCACACATTTTATTACGCTTATTTTGTGAATCCCTGTGTTGACATAAGTATACCTTTCCTTAAGGACCCGGGAGCTAGAGGGATAAACTAAGGAGCCTTCCAGAGCTGGGATAAGGAAAGGGAGACAAAAATGGCCCCAAGTGACTTACGGTGCCTGGGCATTGTGGGAAGTTTGCCTCTTCCCCCGCAGGAAGACAAGGTAATCTCAGACCCAACCAGTCCTCTTGCCAACACATCCAAGAGGAAGTGTTCGTGTTCCGGATGTGCATCCATCAGCAGATGGCCAGGGGTTCTCCTGTGGTCTGTGGGAAACACTATAGAGTCTCATCTCCCCACTATCTTAATTACACACGGATGCAGACAATCAGGGGAAACTGGCCCTTGGAAAGGCAGGCAACAATTCAAGCAGAAGAGGTCACATACGTGGAAACGGACTTAATAGAAGAAACAGAGAAGTTTAAGTGAATCTAATGTCTCTCGAATGATTAGGTGGACTATAGCATTAATATTGAGGACAACTCTATTGTTAAAACTTTGAGTTCTGGGGGGGAAAGGCCCTTCAGTTAGTTAAAGGAATAACTGGGGAAAAAAAAAACAACGCAATCAAAGATTAAATGGATAAACAAGAGCAGGATGATGAACTTCTTAAAGGACTGGAAATTAAATATTTTTGGCTCTGTGGGTCAAAGTGCTCTGCCACAATCAATGGGCGGGACTCTCTCTGCTATTTGTCCTGAAGGTGGCCACAGACAACACAGGAACTGTGTTGAATTTTATGTAACTTTTACATGTTACAAAATATTACTGTCCTTTGACATATTTTCTAGTCATTTAAAAAGTGAAAGTTTATTAGCTCATGAATTGGAGAAAAATGGGCTGTAGGCTGGGCTGGACCTGGGGCCATCGTTTGTTAATCCTTGACTTAAATGTGGGGCTGAATTTTTTTTTAATCCACTGAAATAAAGAAAGATATGGAAATTATGAAGAAAAGGTGAGAAAAACTGAAGACAGATTTAGGTGAGTTCTTTTCTCACTGAAATGTAAAAAGTATACCACTCTGTATTTCATTTCATTCATTCTAACAGGAATTCAGTGGGAAGTTAAGAGAGAAAATTAACACTGGACTGCCTACTCTGTGCCAATAGATACATTATTTTTATATCTTGACCCTCCTAAAAGATAAGCCTCATTTCAACTTTGTTTGGTTTGGTTTGGTATTAGAGATTGACCCCAGGGATGCTCTACCACTGGGCTACATGCCCAACCCTTTTAATTTTTTATTTTGAGTCAGGGTCTCACTAAGTTGCCCAGGCTGGCCTTGAACTCACAATCCTTCTGCCTCTGCCTCCTGAGTCATTGGGATCACAGGGGTACACCCCGTGCCCAGCTATTATTTCAGTTTTAAAGATGAGGAACCTGGTGCAGTGTGGGGAAAGCCACCAAGAGCCACATGGACTACAAGGAGGGCTGGGAGCTGGGGCCAGGAGTGTGGACTTGCAAAGGCCGTTGCTCACCTTCGCTATGTGAGCATCCTAATGGCTGGTGACACACTGCTGCACTCTGTGTTTTATAAATGGTATCTCATTTCTCATTCCCATGTAATTGAGAAGAGGAAAGATGAAGGGGAGAGCTCAGTCCTCTACTGCTGGTAAGCGGCAGAGCCAGCATCAGCATCATGAATGTAAACATATAAATGCTCCAACCGACTCACCGAGCCTTGGAAGTTAGTAACTTAATTACTCAGTTTTTCATTCCATAGAAGTTCAATTTGCAAGTCTGTGCAGATGTAAGGGAAGCCTTTATATGACAGTAACAGTGGCTGGCATGTTTGGAAACCCCACCTGGGCCAGAGGCTAGGCTGAGGGGGTCTCACATGTGATTTTCACAACAGCCACATGGTGGAATCCTCATGAGGGTCCTAGTTCTTCAGAGAGGAATGGACGCTTCCCAGCGAAGGGTTTTCATCTAAGTGTTTTCTGTGTACCCCGAGTTGAGAACAGGGCCTCGTACATAAGTAGATTATTAAAACACTTGCAAATTGATGGAATGGGTGAAGGAATGAATCGATAGATAGGCCGGTGGGTGAACTTGGGAACTGCGGGACAGCCAGTCAGTGCCAGGGGATGTCTAGTCAAGTGTCCATGCCTCTTTAACACTCCTAAACACTCTGAAAAACTTACACGAAAGTATGAAAAATCACCTAGAGCCAGAGGGGAGTAAGGAAGAGGGCGGGCTGCCTCTCTGGATGTGCTGGGAGCTTGGTGGAAATGGGCTTTTTGAAACCGGTTCCCCACTCTCATGGACAGGCCCATCTGCAGAACCAAGTACTATGCCTACCGTCAGGATGTGGCAGTGGGGTTTTCTAAAGCACCTCTTATTTTCTTAAGGTGTTATGAGCAAAATAGCTCCTACAGGGAGAGCTTCATACAACATTGGCTGCTGTTAGGGGTGGTGAGAGGAGCCAGTGATAAGTTGCTGTGCCCCAGGAGGAGGAGAGTACAGAAACCCGCCTCACATCTGGGTGCCTCTGCCTTCAGAGGATGATGAAAGGAGAAGGAGACAGGAAGGGGAAGGGAGAGGGATGGAGGAGGAAGGGAAGGGGAGAGGGAGGTAGATTGTTGATGGGAGCCCAAGGACGGGTAGACCAACAGGACGTGTAGACCAACAGGACGTGGACGTGCCTGAGACTGCGCAGTGGTGTCCAGAAGGTGAAAATGGAAGGCCAGCCTGTGGGGGAGCTGATGGGATGCTCCTGGGAGATGGAACCGCGTCACTCGGTACTGGGAATTTATTAGGTGACATCATGGATCAAAGTTCGTTGCAGTCACCAAAGCCACCTTGGTCAGAAGACCCTTCCTCTGGTCCTGCCAGAGTGCTGGGCTGCTCTCTATCAGTCAGGCTGTCACAGTGGAGGCTGATGGGCCTACAGGCTGACGGGCCTCTTAGAGGGTTCAGCCCACATCAACAGAACCAGCACCATTCCCTCAGTGTGTGAGTACGTGTGGTCAGAGGCACACACCACCAACATGTGCTCACAAGTGCAGAGAAACAGGTGTATACCCCTCACCCACACTCCCTTGCTCACTCGGATACACAGACACACACACATGCACTCATACAGAAATGGCTCCCCAGAGTCCCACATGGTCACACTGATGCAACCCTCCACTGTACACTGTCACACACACAGGCACTCACATGTTCCCACGTGGCATGTTGCACACTTACAGTTACACATGCAGGAACACACACACACTCTCACCTGCATAGTCCCAATACACACATACGTACCCATACCCTCAAATGCACTCACAGACATGTGCACTCGCACACACAGACACCCATACTCACACACTTGCACACACTCAGGTATTGTCTGGACAGGTTTCTTCTTCTGGAACCTCTGAACCCATTTTCGTCTCCCGTGAAGAACTCAAAGGAGTGCTGTGTAAATACTGTTGGTCACTCCCAGAACTCCCTCTCGGCTGAGGGACCCTTCTGACAGTGTGAGGCCTCCTGCCCAGCTCAGGTTGTCCCTTCCTGCCAGAAAACTCTTGAAGAGCAGGTCAGGCAAGCGCGTGGAAACGCTGCCCGAGCAGGCTGGGGGAAGGGCCTCGGCTGGTCCCCAGCTCGGCCATTTGTGCAGCCGCTATTATTCCCTGCCTTTGTGTCATTCAGAAATCCATACATTGTGTTTGCCTTTTGTGCCCAGCTTCTAACAAGCCTCCCTTTGTCCCTGTCACAAAGGCCAATAAACTCTGTGTGGCAAATAAGTTTCAGGGCCTGCTGGACATTATGACTAATTGTAATGCAGTCTATATCCTGGAGCCTATGAACTGATATCGGGAGACAATGGCAGAGAGAGAGTCCATTGAGTTGAGAGAGCCCCCTAGTAACCCCACGGGGGCCGAGATGGGCAACAAGGAGGCCATTGACGATGGCAGCCCCAGCACGGAGCTGGGCGAGGGGGAGCGGGCGGCATGAGCACATTGCTGGGCTCCAATGCTGCTTTTGTTTGCCCAGCAGTGAAACCTGGCACGTTAGAATTAGTTCTGTTTATTTTTTCAGCTTTG